TCCTGGGCCACTTCTCCACACAACTGGCATGAAGCTCAGGGAGCAGATCCAGAGACAGGAAGGGACAGGGAGGGAGACCCGGGAGCCGTTCCCAAAGGTTTCTCTTTTTCTTCTCCTTTAACCTCTTCCTTGACTGACTCTGGGGTAAAAGCAGGTAGGGAAGAAGCTGAGGAGTCAGGGGGATCGTGGAGGAGCGGGCAGAGGGCATGAGGGAGGGCGGGCACGGCCCGGTTCTGACCCTCTTTCTGATCTCACTTTCTCACCCTGAGCTTCCACTTGTCTGGGACCCTGGCAGGGCCCCTTCCCCATCTCGCCAGCTCCCACACCTGGCAAAACTGCCATGGTGCCCACAACCCCCCCACAGTGGATGAGCTATTTTTTTTTTTTTGGCGGCTGGCTGGTATGGGGATCCAAACCCTTGACCTTAGTACTACAAGGCCACGCTGTAAACCACAGCCGGCCCAGACACACTATTTACTTGGATGGAAAGAAGGGTAGAAGATTCATTTGTGAAGGAGTTACTGAGAGCTCAGTTTGGGGTGTGTGGGTTTAGAGTGCCTAGGGCAGAACCAAGCAGACATCAAACAGGTGTTGAATACCCAAGTTGGCAGTCCCAGGGAGAGGTCTGGGCGAAGGTGCGCGTTTAGGAGGTGTCAGTGGCACAGAAGGTGACGAGTGTGGAGGAGAGCTCCCATCNATGAATACCCAAGTTGGCAGTCCCAGGGAGAGGTCTGGGCGAAAGTGCGCGTTTAGGAGGTGTCAGTGGCACAGAAGGTGACGAGTGTGGAGGAGAGCTCCCATCTGAGGAAGCGAGGCGGGGCGGGGAGAGGCAGAGACACAGCCATGGGCCTCAGGGAGAGGAGGAGAAGCCGCAGCTGGCAGGAGGCACCCAGCGGAGGGCGGTGTCCCAGAGCAGGGGAGACACAGGACTGGAGAAGCACAGCTGGCTGTGCCCAGCGCTGCTGCCAGGCTGCTGGGACATGGGTGAGCGCCCGCAGGGCAGGCTGTGAAGGGCGACGCCACGAAGGAGCCCAGGGGTGGCAGCCCTGCTGCTGATGGGCAAGACGCAGAGGGCAGGGGAGGCTGGAGGACCCAGAGCTGCCCCTCGTTAAGGGCGTGCCCGGAGCGGGGCCGAGGGCTTTACCCATCCTTTGACCCCTACACCAGCCCTACAGAACAGGGGCCACCATCACCCTGATCGTACAGATGAGGCAATGGAGAGCGGAGAGGGACCAAGGAGCCAGGGCCAGCAAGGTCTGAGGCCGCAGTGTGCTGCTCGAGCCAGCCAGGGCCCAGCGGGGCGCAGGTTCAGAGTCCAGGCTGTCCTTCGATTCCAGCCACATTAACGGTCCCCTGGGAGAGGGTTTGTGTCTAGCTAGCAAGGGGAAGTGAACCCCCCTTGGGCCTCCATCACGGAGCCAGAGGCCCCCAAGAGGCGGCCTCTCTGAGGTGTCTAGGGAAGCCTGGCTGCTTGATGGCTCTTCCTTTCTCAAACAGCACAGCCGTCTCCTGTCCTGCCTTCCTGCACCTTATCTTCTTTCGGGATCCATAGAACACAAGTATGTACATCGTTAGAAAGCGTTTCCTGTCAGTGACAGTTCTTCAGAGTCGGCACCATCTAAGCCCCTGATTAACCATGATGCAGTCCGTACCAGTCACACCATCGGGCCATAGTGACAGGAAGACAGATGTCCTGCAGCAGGAGGTACAAAGTCATGGAGAAGAAGCAGTAAATAATAAGCACAAATATAAAGCATCTATGGTGTAGAAGGGTAGCTCCATCAGACGCATGGACTACAAGATGCCGTGATGGCGCAGCTGCAATCACATCAAGAGACACACGAGCCACACGCAAGTCTCTGAGTGCCTGCTGTTTTTGTTCTAGCCGCAGACACAGTTTGAAAAAAGTGTATGCTAATAATTGTCTTATTACTAGAGCCTTGATTGAGAACGTGCTCTACTAACTGCTGTGAACCATTAAATTTATGGACCTGTGTTTAATATTTGAATTGGTATTTTTTTGGGTGCTGGCCTATATGGGGATCTGAACCCTTGACCTTGGTGTTATCAGCACCACACTCTCCTGAGTGAGCCACGGGCCGGCCCATTAGCTCTTAATCACTTTTGAACCAAAGCAGTATGATTGTAATATACTTGCATAACAGAAT